CTCGTGGCCGCCGGCTCCGGGGACAAGGACGAAACTAAACTGCATTTTGGACAGGGTCAGGAGACGCACCTCGTGCTTGCACAGGGATTTGGATGCAAAGGGGCCTCTGAAATACTTCGCATTCTTGCCACAGCTTGAACTGTGGCCAGGCACCTGCCACACTGCTGAAGGGCTGAATTATCCTGGCGTTCCTTCACTGTCCCACAGGAGCTGGCTAGGTGAGAAATGTATTTGCAAGTCTAAAGTGGACTGGGAACTTTGGCCCATGTAGCTTATATGCTGTAGTTTCCTGGAAATTTTTGCAGTTAACCAAAGTGTCGCTTGCCAGGCTTGTGTGCCACCACCTCCTTCACTCCACAGCCGGCTCCCTCCTGCTCTGCCCAACAGCAAGAACACCTGATGATGACAAAGGCATAGCTGGATGCTTTCCGGCTAACTTGGCAGCAAAGCTGTAAGCTAGGGTATAAGGGAACTAAGGTTACTTCCATGAAGCTATTTGTGCTTGTCACAAAGAGTTCTTGCTCCTGTGCCAACGAAGGAGGAGTGAGTGTCATGGAAACTCATAACTCATCTGTGTCCCGATCCCATTTTGGCTTTGGCATCACCCTCTATAAAGACTTTACACCCATCGTCTTAGCAGAGGGTGTCTAAAGTGCAGCTGACAGCAGCTGCTGCAAATACAGGCAGTGATTTGGAAAAGGCCATGCAGGAGCCAACGAGGCACATGTCAGTTCATGGAACAAGCCAAGAAACCTGGCAAGAAACACCTTCAGCACATGCCCATGTACACACGCGGGCACATGCAGAGGAACACATGCAAGTACTTGATATAGATTTTATTGTGCCAATTAAGTCAATAAAACCTTAGTCCATGCTTGTTCCAGTACTTCAGGGGCTCAGACATTCATGGCTCAACAACAAACAGATCTATAAACTCAGTAGAACAATACCAGGAGTTATTTTATATCCTCAGGGTGAAACACAAATAGTTCCAAAGGCAAAACATACACATCCAAGGCATTTCTGAACAAGGAATATTATCAATAGGGCACTGTGAGATTAGCCCTGTTCTACTTGTCTTGTGACTTAACCACAAGTTCACTTCTGCATAAAACTATACAACTGAGTGCTGAATAAATTCCTCTCAGATGTATTTGTCCCTTTGTATTTCTGGGAGAAAAACATGTTACTTCTCCATTTTCAATGTGCATGAAATTGAGGTGGCTGGGTTTTCACTGCAGGCTCACATATTCAATTAATACAGCATGTTATTGAATCAAAACACCTTCATGCCCCAGTACAGTTAAGAAAGCCTGTGCTCTGAAACCAGTACTCCATAATTTATTGTCTGACTGTGGACCTCCAGGAATGGGAGAGCAATTCTACAAGCCCAAGACTCCTGCATAAAGAGGTTGTTATTTATTATTTTATACCATTTAATGGTGGACTTGTTTCTTTGAAAATGTTCATAAATCTACATATTTAAAATTAAATACTAGTAACTGTGCAAAGTGAACGTGAACATTTCAGTGGACCCAATATGCCAGACTTTCTTACTGAACACAGCAATTCTATAAAAGATAAGTATGAGGTGTATAAAACTTGTAAACGCTTATTTACCTCTTACTGAAAGACCCCACATATTAAATACAGAGGTAAGACACTACATCATGAAACTGAACCTTGACCACTCCAGTCAAGTATAATCCACTTTACAGTCAGTGTTTTATTACATTCCTTAAGGCAAATATACTCAAAATCAAGTATAATCTATTATACTTGTCAAGAGGAACACCGTATATCCTATTGCAGGCCTGAACCTGCAAATCTCCATGCAGATGAGATAACCCATTTTTGCAACATACATTTGCATTAATCACTCCTGCAAACCTATTCATGAGCATCTGGAAACAGCATCGGTCAAGATTGCTGTGCAATAAATATGTCCCTGTTCATTTCACTGTAAGTCAATGAAACCCATTTTCCACAAGGGAGAAATTATCCCCTGCCCCCAAAACAGACCTGCAGTAAAGAGGCCTTATTTTCTAAGGTGCAAGTACGGCATGTAGACCAACACACCTGGTGGTTGTTACTTAGTATTTCAATCACAGCACGGGCAGGACAGACAGGGCTATCATCTTTTTACAGAAATGGGAGACAAAATAGAAAGGTCTACAGTATAATGAGTGTCACGCCACCATACTTGTTCACTGCCAAATATAACGTAGTATGTTCACTAGAGTAACAAACAACGATAATTCTTGTTTGTTTTTTTTTTTCCTCTTACAGGGCTGGAAATAATTGGTGGTGGGTCCCTATAGTTGCGCCTATGCTAGGAGGTGTACTTGGAGCAATGATCTATATTGTTTTTATTGAAATTCATCACTCGGATGCTCAGCCAGGAGAAAATGACGTGTATGATAAATATGAACTGACCAATATGGAGTAAGAATTTTGTTTTGCAGTTTTTATGCAAATGATTGTTTGGACCATTTTATAAAGCCTGTATGCCTTGATTAAAAATCCACCTTTCAAAGCAGAAAAATCTATACAGAAGACAAGTTCAAAACTGACCTCTTTCCATGAAAAATCAGGGTGATTGCATTCAAAACCAGGAACTTGGGGGTGGGAAGGGTAAATTGTTGTTCTTCTCATATGGTTTTCAGTTATCTCCTAGATGAAACTGTAGTGAGATGATGCACTGACCTGTTGATTCAACACACATGATCTTAATGATGTTGCCTAATTGACTGAGAATAGATGAGATATTTTTATGAAACCACATGCATAGGTAGTTAATTGGTTCAGTGCTGAATTAATGTGCAAGAGCATCACTCACTTCTTATAATCATTATTTAAGAACGTCTTGTCTGAAAATTAAAAACAATACCCAAATTGCATAAATGTCAATTGCAGTAGTTTTAAGTAACTTACTAAATTTTTATGAAGCCACTAATTGAACAGTAAGGAATCAACTCATCAGTGATGAGGTTTAGTAACTCAAAATATGATCACAAAAGGTAAAAACTGTGTGTTGTAAGATCAACACCAAAAAGACAAAGCTGTACTTCTGCACAGGTTCTTCATAGCAATAGTGTTCAGCTATATTTAAAGTATTTACTTGACCTTTATGCTACCCAAAATAAAAAGCCTAACATAGAATATTAATCTGAACCTCTTCCACTGTGCTTTCTGGATAGAACTCATTCCTGTGGAGCTGGGCCAGCAACAGAGGCTTATCCTGTGCCTATGTCTGCAAAAGTTTTAGAGGCCTTCTGCTGCTGATTTACATGGGGGGATTTAACCTGCTTTGTGGGAGTAATTTTTATTTTAGTAGCAGTAACTGAAATTAGAAACTGGTCTCAGACCTAGTCCTAGATCCAAATTCCCCAAGGAAGGCCAGCTCCACATCAGAGTTCTGAAGCATGGGTTCTCTCTCTCTGGGAAGTGGTTGGACATACACCACACTTCCTAAATATCCAGCCTCAAAAAATGAGATTATTTCTGCTTAATCATTATGAATTGAATGTATCCAGTTAAATCAAAGTTCATTTCTAATATGTATACATATATATATGGTTGTTGGTGGTGATTATGAATAAATAGACATCCTATTCAGTGATGCTCCTGAGCTATTATCATGGCAAAACTTCAGGGTACCAGTTCAATGTACTCATTTTAGGGCACTCCTCCCTTTAGATTCCTACAGTTCTGCTCCCTAGAATTCCACACTATTTTCTGATTTCACTCCTGAAGGGAGGAACACTTTGTTTTGCCAGTAATAGCCTGTGCATGTTGGTGAAGTATCCAGAGAAGTGGTTTGGAAAATACTGTGGTCAGAATCTGCCTCGACATTTAGGCAGATCAGGCCTGTGTCACTGCATGTCTTTATCATGCTCCCCAGTATGCCATGCTGAATTCATGGCAGCAAAGGGATAGAATTAGCACGTCAAGCAAATCTTTGCTTGCTGCAGCTGTAAGTCGGATGATGCTGTATACTCGAGGGAGTATAATTCCAATTTGAATTGTGTTTTTGAAGAAAACTTACAGAACTGTAACAAACTCAGGTTGCCCAGAGACCGTATCAGCCCTGTGCAAAATGCTCATTTGATTCAGCCATATCTCTGCTGTGGGTTAAAAACCAATATAGCTATACCCATCCACACTTGACCGCATTGTATCACTATCTGGAGAGCTGCAATAACAAGAAGGGAAGGTTTACAGAATCAGTCCTCAATCTGAGCAGAGGCAGATACAGAAGAATCAAAAGTACAATGTGGAAACTGCTTCTAACTGTAGACCTTATCTGGCAGCACAGACAAGCTAGTTCATCTGTCCTGTATGTTGATAAATTGCACTACATAAAACAAGATGGTGTGTAAAAGCAATTGCACACTGAGCCTCCTTTTCTCCCCTTTGCAATGAGTGCTGTCTCACTCTTTGGCGATACCTGACAGGAGCACTCCTAGGTGGCTGCCAACCATCTGTGCCTGGAGAGGGATTACATAGGTAGGAACAGCCAGAAGGCTGCCCCCAGGTCTGAAAGGCACTTAGTCTTCCACTGACACCAACACCTAACATGAAATATCTGTGCAGAAAATAAAAATAGACAGCTAATTAACCAGAAGTAACCAATTTTGTCTGAAGTGGTAGGGGCAGGTTACCTGTGCTAGAATTTTGCATGGTCAGTAGGCTTCATATGCCTCACGATGTTGCTTCGTTTAATATACCATGGAAAACACAGAGGAAAGCAGAATACAGGTCAGAAATGAGAAAGGGACAGTTTATTTATACAACCTACTGAGTGACCAGCCCACTCTTACTGTGTGTTTGTGTGTTGGCAAAGGTACATAAAGTTGTGCATTTTCTCAAAATCCTTCCAATCACAACAGGTTCTGCCTGTAAATCAACATGACAAGTTGTTTCTCCTACTGATGCCATTTCCATGCACTGAATTTCTGTACAGGTGATACTTCCTTGTCTGAAGTTATGAACATGCAAACAGCAAGCAGTGACACATTAGCGTTGATAGCATAGCAATATTTAAAATATAGTCTCAACAAGTTGTTGTCAATTCTGTCTTTGCTTAAAGAACTTATTTCTAAACTTTAATCATTGAATAGGCTTGTAAATTCTTTGAAGACACATGGTACTAATACCACAATCCCTCATGACTTCACAAAAGCCAGAATTTCATCCAGGAACAAGGTGTTACAGACCTATCTCAGAGTTGACATCATTTACATTTATAAGAATGAATTCCTGCTTTAGGGACAAAACTCAGTTGAGTCTTAACTAAAGAACCATGACCAGTTCATGGACCATAACATAATGGGAACAATAATAATTATCTCGTGCCATAAGCTTACACAGACATCATGATCTGCTTTGTGCAAAACAAAAAAGCATTTTTACTTTGCATAAACTACGCAATTTTCTAACATCAACTGATATTCAGTGGTTGCACTCATGTTGAATTAATTAATACAGTTGGCAACAAGAAACAGTTTTTCCAGCCATAAGACATTCTGGTTAATGAATTAATAGTAATCAGGCTTGATTGTTTTAATGTTGAAAAAAATTCATTTTCAGAGCATTGTTCAACTTTAAGCCTGTGTTTGTTCTTTTTCTTTTTTTGGGCAATGTGTTTGTTCTTTAGAGGTAAACTTTGTACTAAAGTAATTTGGAGAGTGATCCTGCAAATAGTACTGTGTTAAAGGTTGGCTACTGCATGTCGTTTCATAGAAGCCTCTGGAATTATTCACAATGGGAGGCAATACAAGCAAGGATAAGTGCTCAGAGAATTGAACTCAGAGCATAGCAGAGACTGTACTTTCTTGTAGTTTTGACTGTGAATCTGGATGGATGTGTTGTGGTTCAAAATAAATACAGTCAATCCCTAATAAATGCATTCCAGTGCTATTTTTATAAAAAATCTCCCCCCGGCACCTAAGGACATATTAAGAAATAAACGGCTGCCTATTATGACCTACGATGTTTTATAGCCTTGTGCTGGAACAACACATTGACTAACAAGCTGTATTCCCAGAGCACATACCCTGTGGCAGATTTCGTGGGTCAGAAGCAGTGCCAAAGCAGAGAAATGCTCATATATGAGTAATGGCCACTGCTGGGCCAGGAGGCACCGGCGCAACAATGAGAGGGCCAGGCTCCTCGCCTCTGGACCTTCTCCTGTTCCTGCCTGCAGCCTGCCTAGGGACGCTTTCTGCCACAGCTTTCCCACCGATCTAACGATAGCCAGAACCTAGGTGTGATATTTTGATTAAGTCCCTCTTCAGAGATTGCTTTTAAGGCATGCATACATCATGTCAGATTTGGCCTACAGTACTTAGAAAATGCCCCAAGCTAATTTATCTATCTTTTCTACAGATTTGTAACAGGGACATGCTTTGCTCGTTTCATTGTGAAAGCACATGAAAACCTATTCTGTGGGGGCAAGGGGAGAGGGAAAGATTAGGAGCTTCAAATTTACTCAGGAAGGGAAAAAACAAAACAAAAAAACCAATCTGAAGTAGCAGCAGGCATTTTATCCTCCATCCATCCTGATGACCCTCACCTTCCCAACAGTCTGATTTTTCTGTTCTCCTTCCTTTCTCCTGCCAACACTGTGTGCTGTGCTCTGTCTCTATACAGTACAATACATCTCCAGAGATTTAAATACAGCATGCTTTTCTCAGTTACTTATGAATCTTAGAAAGTTCTCATGAGAGCAAATTCAAGTTTCACCTCACACGCTTGTTTTTTTGGCAGTTGCTTGCATTTTTCCCCACTGTTCCCACCAAACAACCTTCTTCTGGAAAATACAACAATTAACTGTAACTTCCAGTAACAGCTGCTCTTTTTCTGTTTAGTGCAATTGTTATTGCATAACAGATTACTTCTTTCAAGCATGTACAATTTTTAAAGCCTTCCTTTTTCAAACCACTATTAAAAATAGCTCAAGATCATCCAGAAAAAAAAACTTCTATGCACATCAGTTAGTAGTCTGTATTTTTAACTTGTTTTGCACTTACAACTTTTTAAAAAAACATTTATAATTATTGTACAGTAGTGTCAGTGTCATTCTGCTCCTTTGCACACTCTAATGGCATACTGTCAGAGGAGAAAGTAGTAGGTAAATATTTTTAGCCATTGGTGTTTCTTTGTACATTTAAATAAAAAATTAAAGAAATCCATATAGTATGAAGCTAGACATGACACATTTATGTTATTTTTCTCTTTGCTGAGCACAACTTCCATCAAAAGGTGTTACTAATATAGGGAACATGAACATTATATTATTAACCTTAAATCAGTGATGATCAAGCTTTCTGGCCAGGTGACCCAGTTAGCTCCTTTTCCATGACAGGGGAGGACATCCTAATATGATCCCTTGCTGACCTGCCTAGGGACTGAGCAGTCTGCTTTAAGTTATTGGAAATCAAGCTTTCCTTCCACACTCCAAACATTGCTCCAACCATCCAGAAATCAGGAGTAACAAATCCTGCTACATGCTACACTGACAAATAAAGTGATAATAAAGAAAAGACAAAAACTTCAAAAGCTGGTAAAACAAAGCAAGCCCTTTTGGCCAGAGGTCAGCCAGAAGGCTGATTGATAAACGCTTGGTTACTTCAGAAAATAGTCTAAATTTTACTGGGGAACACAGAAATAAAGAGACAACGGTATGAAGTAACACCATCAGAAGATTGTCTTTTTGTTCACCTATCAGAAAACTCATGTCTGTCTTGGATGCAAATTCTAACATTCTCAGTATCACCAAGAGGACCAGTTTGGGCACACTAATGCTATTACTTCCTTGGCATTAGGCACATAATAGTCTAATAGGTGAAGAATACTTTCCACACCCTCAGAAATAACAGTGCTTTGCTTTACTGCACAAATCTCAGGAAACTTTCCCTGCCTTCCAGTTATTAACAGGGCTGTGAATGAAAAAGCAACAAAGCAAGCAGTATGTTAAGACTTGAAGAGTCAGCATCTGAATAGAAGGAAATGAACAATCTTAACCAGAATTGAACAGATGCAACACTTTCTGTAGCATAACCGAGACATCAAATAACAAACATGAAGCCAAAGGAGCAGCACATACTTGGCAACAACCATTGCTAAATTAAAGAGTCGGGTGTTTTCTCAATGCCTTTTAAATAGACTTATAAAATAAATTATATTTGAGAATAAAAGAACTAAACTGCATAGTAAAGGAGCAAAAGTTGAGGATTTGAACACTTTCAGATAATTGAAACAAAGAAAAAAATAAGAGGAAAAATAGAAGGCAAATCTCAGTGGGAAAAAGGGAAAGCACAGTAGTAACTTTCTTGAATTAATTTCCAGCCACGTGAACCCTGCTGCAGCCCCTCACAAGAGGCAGTAAGGATCTTTCTATTAAAACTGCACAATACCAAGACCAGAATTGTTTTATCTTCATTTCCATCTCAGATGTTCAAGCCATTGGCAACTGATGGCTACACACTGCGGAAAAACTTCTGCTACATAACCATTCTGCCATCTAAGGAAGAAAGCCTGTTTGGCTTCAGTGCAGAGAGAATTTCATCTCATACACGTGTAATCCCCAGTGGGTTTCATGTTTTTCAGGCTATAGAAATAACACATGTTTTTGAAGATGCTAGCACTGAAGAACATCTATCAGAAACACAAATAGAGACATGAATCCAACTGCCATTAGCATGGAATCTCAGGGGATAAAGCAATTGCAAAGGCTACTCCAGTGGGTCTTGGGGGAAGAAAGCAATAACAGACAAACCTTGACTCAGAAACACCTTGTCTTCACACCTATGAGTAGTCTTCACAGAAGAATGCTTCAAAGACAGGCCATTTGCAAACATAATGTATATGCAAACACCACTAGCACTTCAGAAGCTTCTGATCCATGGAAAAATGGTGGCTGAACAAAATATGGATATGAACACCACACACATTTCAATTTGCTGCTATAAAAAGTCAGAATACTAAAAGCTACAGAATACTGGAAGCCATTATAAGCCCCATTTGCTATCACAGGTGGTTCTTTGAATTAGAGAAACACAAGAAACCAAACAGTACAGCTTTAAAACAAAGGACAGAAATCTACCTAAAATATTTACCCTGCCTGCAAGTGGATCTGTAGCCTTTTCTTCTTCCAAGTCTTTTACCTGGCTTTCTAGTACCACTGGCAGCAGGCTTCTGGCTTTCTCTCAGGCTCCTGTCCTGACTGTGTGTCACTGGTCTTTCATATCCATTGAGCACCAAGTCCCATCCAAAATATTCCATTTCTACAAAGCCAAAAAACTCAATTTCAAGATTTGTTTCAAAATACACATAGTTCCATACAATTTCAAAATGTATACTGCTACTAAACTCTTCTTCCAACAATTCATCTGGCAATTACACTCTTTTTCTTTGCTTTTGATCAGATGTGTTGCTTACAGCAAGCTGGCAGGACAACGATTATCCCACTAAGGGAGATCTATTGTACATGGGATTTGGATTTCCCCCAAGGGAAATCCTAGAACAAGAGACATAGCTCAGGCATTGGAGGATTTTATTTGTTATAAAATACTGACCCCGAGAAACTGGGTAGTTAGTTACACTGCATTACAGGATGCGATTCATAAATCAGCAAAAATCAGCTTGTCTTTCAGATTCTGAATGGGAAGCGTTTAAGGTTAACAGAGTTCTTATTCGTACATCTGATTTCAGGTAATTTCATTAGAAATTAGAAAGCCAGAAACAAACATATATCCCTAAAAAATAATAAGTGAACTTTAGAGCACAACTAGGCTGACAAAGAAAAAGCTCTCTTCAGATGTAGAAACTTCACTGCATTCCCAGATAGCAAATGTGTAGAGTTTATAAAAATGAGAAGTCGTAAAAGAACTCCTATGATCTGAGCCTTTTGATGGTGTTTTAATGTTACCATGACTGAGATAACCATGCTCAAAAATAATGAGTTTGCTTTACTTTCAAACTTATTTTTCCTTAATAGATTTGTAGCATCATAGCCTCTGGCTATGAACTTTGTTTCTGTCATCATCTTTCCCCAATGCTCCTGAAAGTACTCTGTTGTCAATTTTTCTCTATTTTTTTTCCTCCTTTAAATAAACACAAATGCAACCCTTTCTTGTGTGCTTTTATTTGGTCTGGTAACCTCCTTCATGTTCATCTCCCTCCTCAGCTTTGTGTACACAATGAGGCTCCCTGACTCCATGTACATAGCATGTGTGACTGTAGAAGACCAATATGTTACACACCAGGCTTCAAAAAATTGCAGCCCTAGAGGGCTTCAACCCACCTACCTTCCTCCTGCAGCGACTTTGGGAAAATTTTTCATTGTCAGAACAGTCCTTTATTCTGTAGGACAGCTTTATCAAAAGCAATATCTAGCACTAAGGCTGTAGTGGTACCTTAGATTCACTGTCATGAGATAAAGAGGATGGCCAGCCTACCTAGGAGGGGTGCACTACTGACTAAAGGTGTCCAGCTGATCTGCAATAAGGGTCAGATAAAAGCTTGAACAGGAAAAACCCCTCCATTGTAGCAAATGTAGCACTGAAGCATAAGGAAGCTTCAAGCATGTGATCCCTCTGCTGGGCACCTTTGACCAAGGGGTGTTACAAATAAACACAGAAGAGGCGAATACAAGTTGCTGAGGCTGCTGCCATAAGAATTTACTGGCAAAGAGCAGTTCTTGGTGGAAGGCAGCACTTTAAAGAACCCATTTTTTTCAGAACATCAACACTGCAACACCACATAGAATACTTTCAGTCAGTTAGGTATCAAAAGCCACAGCACTTGTATGCTTTAATAATCAGCCCCATTCTATCGGCCAGTAGATTTTTATTTTTTTAAAAAGTCTGTTTTTTAAAGAGGATTCTGTTTATCACCATTACTTACTATACTTTTTGAAGACAGTGACATAGGGATAGAAATGCTACAGAAACATTATTTTGATGTAAAATATACATAGTAAATGTGATGCGTATGACAAGATCACAATTCAAAAAATTTTATTTATTTGTCTCAGTCTTGAAATAAATGGGCTATGTCTGTACTTAAGCCATTTGCCTATTTGAATGCCCTAATTAGAATTTTTTTTCAAATGTTAACAGCTTGTTAAAAGTTAATTCATAAGAGCAAGGTCTATTGATCCTACTGTTTTTACAGAGATGGCTTCTGTATTCAGCAGCATTGTAAGTATGAAATGGATTGAGCAAGTGTAGTGCAAATAGGAGATGCCACACTTAGGTCACTCAGGTCCTCTGTGCCCAGATGGGGAGGGCAATGGTTAGACTTTAAGGTCTGAGTGCAGACATTTTTTTGTTACATGTTTGTATGACACTAAGCACAATGATGGGGGCCCATAGTATTGGGGATGATAATACGATATACAGCTTCTCTGTACTGCCCCACAGTAATCCTTGACCCCAAACTTAGCCCTTTATCATAGGGGGTATATATTAGCCTACATAATTTGTGC